ATCCACATGATAATACTGCATTTCTCTATTTACCCCAACAGATGGAGACAAACACCGCAGGTCTCCAGTCTCCAAAGAAACTTCCTCGACTACAAGCTACCTGTTGGTGATTTTCATCTGCCAAATACAGATTGAGGTGGACCCTCCTTTACCTGTAGTTATGGTCTATGACCAAACCACCCCAGTGTTGTGGAGTTTTAGCAACTAAGCAAGAAGCAAGTCCACTAAAATAAACTGAACAATAGCAACAAAAACTGAAATGTTGGTTACCTTGAAGGTGCAATATGTGTTGTAATGTTCATGCCACATGGGCCAAGCGTCAGCATGTACTGGTTTGGCTTTGTACTTCTCTTCAGTTACATATCTCCAAATCTAGTGTAAATAAGCAATCATAGAAAAATGTGCACCACTGCGTTTGCTCTAATTCGTTTCAGAAACACTATTTCACTAAAGCCTCATTTAAAAAACAACAACATTGGTTTTTTTGGGTTTTTTTTTTTTTTTTTAGGAATATTGGACATAATTTTAGCAGATGGTGAAATAAAATTAGTAACTGAGTATAAGTACAAAGCCAAAGGGCCCCCAGTTTTCCCTGGTTGCCTACACTGGAAGTCAGGACAGTGTCTGTGGCTTCTTAAATCTTTAAATGTGGTCAGAAATGACAAACACTGCTGTAGAGGAGGAGAGAGGAGTCAAAACCACACAATCACCACATCTGAGGATCTCGTATAATTTCTAATCTAAGCCATCCATTCAGGCCAGCTGCGTCCTGTCTCTTGGTGAAGATTCAGCTGTTTTATCCAATTTTGTTCCTCTCCTGATGTGACAAACATCAAAGCCTGTGGAATTTACCTAAAGACTAAAAGACTTTAGAAATAAGCCAATATTCAAGGATTTCCCAGTAGAGCACTTAGTAGTCACTTTGACTGTTTCCAGGTTTTGTGTTTCTTTTTTTTTAAGGCTATTAATGCCAAAGAAGCTATTTTAGCATATTAGGAACTGCCACAAGAAAGGCACCGTTTAGGAAAACGAGGAATAAAAAAAAGCAAATTGAAGGCACATGGCTCCACACACATGTGGTTTTTGCATAATGAAAGCTGGAGACTGCATGTTGCACAAATGAAAGTAAAAGCCTGTAAATCATTATCCCACAAGTCACAGATATTAATTACATCCATACTCAAGGGGCAAGACAACTGTGCTCTTCAGATGACTTGAATTAAATCTGCTCTTCTTCACGTGAGGCAATTTTTGCTCACGGCAACCAAAACTGCAGCTGAATTTATTCCGTTTTGTTCAGTTTAGACATAAACTTTAACAGGGTAACACTTTAAAACTGTAGATGAAAATTATAAATCCTCCCATCGCCCCCAACTGTTTTTTCCTACCAACTGTTGCCAAGTGTTTGCCCCTAGGAGTTCATCTGATTGTTGGCATTTTCTCTGTATTATTGTAGGGTCTTTACCTCATAATATAAAGTGCCTTGAAGTGACTGTTTTTGTGATTTGACTCTATGCAAATAATTAAATTCATGAATTCACAGTTAATTAAACTTTTTCACAGTTTACAACAGTAAATGGGTTAGCAGTTTAAAAATTAATTTGCAAACCAATGCAAACATCTGGTTATCAAGAAGAAAATGGTGCTTATAAAACTTGGTAAACTGTTAACAATAAACATGGCTGGATGGTTAATACACTTGCCATGGACACTTCATTAGGTACACCTGTTAAACTGCGTTTTAATGTCTAATCAGCCAGTCATATTGCTGCAACTTGTAGAGATGTAGAGACTTTCTCAAGTGACCATCTTGAGGGTTTCCAGAGAACGGAGAATATCTGTTCTCTGGCTGAAAATGCCTTGTTGATAACAGGGGTCAGAAGAGAATGTCCAGACTGCTTTGAGCTGATAGGAAGGCACAAAGCTCACACATTATGACCAAGGAATGCAGAAGAACATCTCTGAATGCACAACACATCAAACCTTCAAAAAGTTGGGCTACTTCAGCAGAAGACCACAGTGGGTGCCACTCTGTCAGCTAAGAACAGGAAACTGGGGCTACAGTTTGCACTTGCTTACAAAACTTGGGCAATATGAGACTGAAAACGTATAATGAGTCGTAATTTCAGAAACAGCATGAAAGCTTTAATCAGTCCTACCTTGTATCAGTGATGTACATGTAGTTTAGAGGTGTGTGGGGGATAGTTTCTTAGTTACCTGAGCAGAGTTTAAATGGCACAGCCTGTCTGACTACTGTTGCTGACCATGTTCATCCTTTTATGACCACAGTCAGTGACGATAACAATAAATTCTCTGCATTCAAACACCCTCCACAGTAACCAGATTTCTATCCAACAGAGCTGTGTTGTGCACTGTGTTGGATCTGAGCCATGAAAAAAATGATAAAGCTCTGAAGACAAAAGGAGGTTCAACCCAGTACTGGCAAGATGTTGCTAACGAAGTCGCAGGTGAGTATAAGGTTATAACACTCATTGTGAAGCACACAGGTGAGATGTGGCTGGCATTTATCACTAAACTGTGAACACAGAGACCCTGTTTTGTGTTTAGTTTCTTCCACAGGTTAGTTACATTTTCCCTTGTTGTTCAATTTACCTTCGATTTGCTGTCTATCGAGATGCCAACAAACTAGTCAAAGCTGGTCAGGTTTAGGACAAAATGAGAACTGAATTAAAATATGACTAGCTTTTAGTGAGGCACTAAAGGCCAGGGATCCTATAAGGGTGCTTAGAAACCCATCACAAACATGGACATATTTAAGTACAGCTGTTACATAGGAGAGATATTGTGTTTTTGGCGAGGCAGCTTCAGAGCATTTTGGAAAGTCTGGCAGATCGGCTAAGTGCAAGACAAAGTAGAAGACATAATCAAACAGAGGCATCTGTGATAATGCCTGCGTTTCCAACAACCGTGGAGTCCTTAGAGCTCCAGTGGAGTCACTCCAGAAAACCATCAGTGGCAGTTAGCTGGAAAATTTAATCTGAAGCCTGAGCAGACAATTTTATTCAGCATGAGAACTTCACTGAATGGGATACTGTGGTGAAGTGCACAACCCCCTTATTACACCTAAAAAGACTCTTTTATGAGCGAAATGGTGAAAAGACGTCTTTCTGGTCACCAACCAATGGGAAAGCCAGACGAGTAGATGAGTCATTCTGTGTGGCAAATTCTAAAGTTTCCCCTTCTGAGAAATTTTTTTTAAAGCATGCACTAGTTTTTGGTACATTTCCCAAGCATGCTGTTTTTATTGAGCCCTTGAAGGAAACAGCAAATACCAATAAACGCAAAGCCATTTATGTCACCACATGTCTCATGTCTTGTCACCATATCGGTCACACGGGGAGTCTAATTTGCGTGTGGTGGTTAGCACTGTCGCCTCATGGCATGAAAGCCCCCCATTCAAATCCAGTCTGGGGTCTTTCTAGATGTCGTTTGCACATCTGCAAGAGATCCTCCCACAGTTGGGCTAATTGGCGATTCTATATTAACTGTACATGAGAATCATGCATTTCCTCTGCTGGTTGTTCACTGTGGTGCACTGTGCACACTCTGCATTTGTTTAGTAAAGCTTCACAAATTCCTTATCAGCCATGTGAAACTCTAATATGGCACTCTGAGCTAAATTCTACTGACGGCATGCTGATATGCTCACATTGATAAGACATGCTGACAGTTATTGATCAGTGTTTTCCATCATCAGCAACTTATGTTTGTGCATAAGCATGCTAACCTTTTCAGCCAGCTGTCACTGAACGTTTACATTTTTAAGTGTTATACAAAGGACTAATTTTGCCATGACAAAGAAACATCAGAGGTCATTATGGGTCATCCTCTGTCTTTAACAAAAAGAATGACACTTTATCTTCTAGATCTTGACGTATTTCACTGGGTAAGTTAAAAATTGTGAAATTATGAGCATTTTCCTGGGAACCCCGTGTTCAGAAACATAAAAGAGAGCCAAACTGATATTCTGCCACACAAGAACATGAAAACTTTTGTCTAAATGTTTTGTTAGAAGATGAAGTCACATCAGAGTGAGTTTCAGCTGCTCGCATGCCAAAACAAAAAGCATTTTCTAAAAGTTCCACTTCACAGAGTCCTTCATAGGGTTTTTTTGTTTTGTTTTGTTTTATAACATGACGTGAGTAAATTGACACGATGTATTCGAAAAGACTGTAATTGCTGATGAGAGCCAGATGATACCTTTTGCCTTTAATGTATAGCCTAATAAGAAACCAAATGAAATATAATTATGGAATCACAACTTTGTCATCCAGTAGAGGTTTGTAAAAACACTGGAAAGAGAATGTTTATTTCTTAACAAAACACAGGATTACAATAGACTAACTTCATATAAATGCACAGTTCTCTATTTCTATGATAGAGTTCTTGACCTCTCTGTTATCAGAAGTTTTCCAAACAGCAGAAACAAGCAAAGTCAAGGATGTTGAGCACGACTGGAACGCATCTTTCGCCAATCAGATTACTCAGCATACCAGTTGTTTATCATTTGATGAGAAGGTAGTGTATGTGGTCGCTTTGGCAGAGACAGATGGTGATTTGGTATTGAACGGTATGTTACTGTTTTGGAGTGAAACCGGTGATGGACAGAATGCATGAAAAATAGCATAGCTGTAATGAATGCCTGTAATACAACTATGCACCGCTCAGTGTCCAAATCTGCCCATATGCTTCTAAAGGACACGTGTCCTAAGAAGGCTGAAACCCCTGGGGTTTAGGACACGGTTTAAATGATTTTCCATTACTTATAATTGACCCTTGCAAACTATATAATTTACAAGTAAAAGCTTTATATTGTAAAATCTGTAAAACACATTCTAAAAAAAATGCTGAAAAAGAAAGTGCAAAGGTGCCCGTGTTGCTGTAAATTTTGTTCATCCTGCACTAAAATATGTGGATCGGTGTGTAGCTCAGAATATGGATATTTTTCGTATAGGCACGCTAAACCACAAGACACAAGCTCATTTGAAAGCAGACCTTTATACATATTTACAAAAAGAAAAACAAAGTCTCTGCACATGAGAGGAGATCATGTGATGACAGTTTCATTTTGTCTGCAGAGAAGTCGTTCTGGAAAATCACAAGAGACGAATGTTGGCACTCAGATGTAAATACAGCATAACAGAGTGAGGCCATTGTAATGAACGAGGAGCAGCTCTGCACCTCGTCTTACAGGAAAAGCATTAAATGTTTAAGATGGTCCTCCATAAAAATGTCTCGTTGGAGTTCTGCAGAGAACTTTCAGCAGAGCTGGGATCCGACATAAAATATACACGTTACACATTCATATATATATATATACACACAATATCCACAAGGCAGGGTCATTACAAGCATAGTTAGGTTTATCTTTTTAATGTTTCTGGATCTCTTGAATAGTAATTCAAATAACCCGAAGAGCAGTCAAAATTAGCAAGAAAAATAGAGTTGAAAGCTTTGCTTTGTTAGACTGAGGGTGTGTCTTCTTATTGAGTAGAATTCGAGCCTATATTTATGATCTGCATGGGTCTCTGGGGTAAAATGTCCATATAACAAACTGCAGTTTGAGAGGCTAGCTGCACTGCCACTATTTTTTAACCTTTATGCTAAGCTAAACTAGCTAGCTAGTGGCACTTGCTTCAGTTGACCTGATTATGGTTCAATTGCTCAGCTCTATTAAATGCTGTTATGTATTGTGATTTGTGATTCTATCGTAGTTTCTTTTGCAGTAATGGATAGCCATTTGGGCAGAAATCCTGCATGTTTTCTTAACAACGGGCGTGCACAACAATGGCTAATTAGAAGAGCTTTAAATCTGTGATAGAATACATAAGTGATTGTAGTGTTAGCATTCAGCAGCTTCAGCGGCAGTATGATAACTGATAAATGATACAATATTATGTGACGAGAAAGCTACAATCTCTGGCCCTCTTCTACAGCACGACTTTTATGCTGTCTTCCTTCCCTCACTCCCCCAACCGGTCGCCGCTGCCTGAGCCTGGTTCTGCCAGAGGTTTCTTCCTATTAAAAGAGTTTTTCCTTGCCACTGTCACCAGGTGCTTGATCACAGAGGGTTGTCCCACTGTCGAGATTTTCTCTCTATTATTATTGAATCGTTACATTAGAATATAGAGTGCCTTGAGGCAATTGTTATGCTGATTTGGCACTTTAGCTACAACTAAATTGAAATTGAATTAATCAAAGCTTTAGTCCTGTTATGTTATGATGATTATTTGCTTGCTCTGGACATATTTCAGGGAAATATTTCCAATTTTCATGAGCACAGAAAATCTGCTAGAAAACCAGCTGTGTGACCAATCAAAATAATTTAGCAGTAAGCTATTCGACTCTAAACGACTTTAAACAGCAGCTTAACAACAGGCCAAATCCTGATTTCATTTTAGATTACAGCTGCAGCGTTACACTCTCACACACACTTTCATTTTTAAGAATTGGCTGCGTGACACTTGGACAGCTGCTCAGTGTCGCACGTTCCCTTATAAACTAAACTCAGAATTAGTTCAGTGCTGTGACTTCTTTCATGTGGCCCGAGCCAAGAAGCAAAGAGCCAAGACACCAAGAAGCCAAACCCATATTAATTATCTGTGGGCTCTCTGTGCTTTGTGTTGATGCTACATTCTTCTTATAGCATCAAAAAAATATCTCGAATATATTGCAGAGTTCCACGTTTGGAAGATTTATTGACACAGCCCTGTCAGCTACTCTAAATCTGATCCCATTAATGTCAAACACACAAAAAGACACACAGATCCTAACCCACATAGAGAGACGAAGCATACAGCAAAGAGACTGGGATCCAGCAGGATCATGGTATATATTACCGTCAGTAATGTGTGCTCAGTATCACCACTGCTGGATGATATTAAATAAGGGAAAACTTTGAGGCTGTTATTATTGGGCTTAACCATGCATGTAATGCTCGTTCTTCCAGTATAGCATATAAAATTCGATTAAGTTTTAATTTAGTAAGTTTTCCCTCTGTCCTTTAGCTACACCTTTCTCTCTCTATGATTTAACTAGAACTCATGCAATGTGAGCCACACACAACAGCAGTACTGTTGAGCTCAGGCTTGATGTTGGAACTTTTAGTCTGCATCCAGTGTTCTGGGAAACGTCAACAACGAGAAGACAAGCAGAAAAAATATCATATTTTAAATGCACATTTAGTTCCCACTGCCTCAGACTGAAGCAGCACTTCCTTTCGATGCCAATACGAAAGACAAGATTCAAAAAACGAAAATAAAAACACTTCCACTGGTGAATGTGGGAAGGTACATCAACTGGTAACAATTGGACGTCAGACATACGTACAAAGACAGAACAACAAAGACACTCATGTCAAAAAAGTATCACAACTCCTCAAAGAAGTAGTCTCACACCAGATTAAAATAATAAATAGCACAAAGAAGGAAGTTAAATAGAGATGGAAGTAGCTGTGTTCGTTTAACATTTTAAGAACAAATCACAATTTACTGCCTCACAAAGTCACTCAAATCCCACTGGCCAGAGTCCATTTGACGCCAGTCCTGTTTAGCACTTTCTCCAGTTCCAGCTTGGTATAATAAAGGCTTCTTTATGATCCGCTGGGCCTGCTTCATAATTTACAGTCAGATGTCATTACCAGCTGGGGCTGCAGAACCTGCAATAATGTGCTCCATTCTTCTGTGTTAGTCTAATCCACTGAAATTCACCAACAGGTTGGGAAACATGCATTTCTGTACAGAGTTTTCTTCTAGTTCGGTTTACAGTTTGATCCTCTTGTTCATGTTGTAATGAAAATCTTTTAAAATTCACTCTCAACTTCTTAAACAATAACCTAATAGATGTTGAATATATAGAAAGCTTGAAAGCGCCCTACTTCAGACCAGCGGACGACACTCAGTTCTGAATGTCAAAGCGAAGTTTCTGTTGGAGTTGATGTTCAGACGTGTCTGCACCTTTTTCCTAAATTTGTACAACGTCCACACGTGGGACTCCAGATACACTCAACCAACACTTTAAACAGCACGGAGCATTTTTTTTCCTTCTTTTGTTCACTTTGTTCCCACACCTAAACCAAACCGCTCTCTGTGTCGTGGCACAAAACCAATGGCAGCTTATGCCCGTGAGTCTTAACCGAGCCAGCATTGCAGAAGCAAACACTGAGGAGAACATAATGGAAACATCTCCTGTAGCGGGTCTGCACGGCTGCAACACAGAGCACTAATGTCCTGGGAAAGCTGATCTGTAACCTCATCAAAGCCGTCGCCATGCTTTTTCTCTGCCTTTCATCTCCATGGTCGCAGTCAGTCATCTTGTGGTCAGACCCCACCTATCTGAAGAAACCAACAAAGCCCTTACTGTAGGGAAACCGCCTGAAGGATTATATGTTATATATCCATTAAGTGAAGAAAATTAAAACTCATCAGTGCTATTTGCTGCTGCTCAAAATAAAAATAATCAAAGTTTCTGCAGAGTTAAACTGTTACCTTGATCACTAACAGCTTGTTTTGGATGTTTTAGCCCTTTTCATTATGTATCACTGCCGTACATACTAAGTTTTAAGATGAACAAACTCTTCACTACAGAGAACAGTTTGACAGCTTTCTTTTTTGTGCTGTTTCATTGGGTTCCAATGACATTTGAATGGTATTTGACAGCCTTTCAGCAAATACATATTTGCCCTTCTGTCAACTTCTGTTCTCTTTCCAACAACAAAGAAGCAGTTTGAAAATTTATTCCTGTATGCCAGAGGAAAGAGTGTCCTTGAAATTGAAGCGCAATAATTGTTTTGCAAAGTACTTGGGGAAAAAAGTACTTCTTCAACTTCAAGAACATGACTTTGAAAAAAAAATGTCTCTCTTTCCACATCACAAAATAAATGGAAAGCAGTTTTTTGCCTGGAAGGTAGGAAATCAATCTAAAAAACATCTGCTCTGTTTTGAGGGATAGCTGTGATTCCTAATTAATGGGCAAAAACATGCAAAACCACAAGTATGGTCCTTTTCGGGACAGACGGTTTGGATGATTTTTCCAAATGCTTAAAATCGACTTCTGGAACGAGACTCGGATTTTTGTTTTTATTTTTTTTCTCTCTCTCTGTAGAGCGTCCAAATCTAAAGAATCCAATCAAATGTCCTTGTCATGACTCAGAGTCAGTCAAACTTAGGGATTTAGGCATGCCATTTATCCTTCATTCAACATGCGATGCAACCTAAGCCTTTTCATTCATACAGTCGTTTGTCCCGGTGAAACAGTCCTCGCTGTCCAGATCCTGTACATACTTCAGTCACTCGTGTGTAGCTTAGCTTGTTTGTCTCTATAATGAAAGGACGCCATGTTTGTTTGTAGATAAGTGCATGCGCATGAAGTAGTCTCTGTACATACAGTATGTGTGTGTCTCAGTGTATAAGTTAACTGTGTATGTGTACATGTGTGCATTTGTGTGTGTGTGTGTTTGCGTGTTTGTGTAGTTGTTGAAGTCACTGAAAATCTGCCTTCCCGCTCGTGCACGCATTCAAGCACTCCTCGGCGCCCTCTGCTGCGGCTTGCTCCTGCTCTTCCTCCCCGCTGCTCTTCCTCCGCCGCCTCCTCCTCCTCCTCTTCCCCCGCCATGCTTGTGCCTCTCTTTCTCCTTGTGTGGCTCCGCCTTTGTGTCACCATGGCGATGGTGGTTGCGTGGAGGGCGGTATCCCAGAGCCTTGCAGTGCTGGCCAAGGTTTCCGGGGTGAATCAGTGCCATCACGTTCTCGTACCACGGCTGGGTTCCGGCGCTCTGATAGGACGAGGCCGACCAGGAAGCCAGGAGGCGATTGGCAGAGGGGCTCCAAACAGCGAGGCGCACAGTGACCGCAGTCCAGTGGTAGCCGTGCTCCTCCACCTGGCAGTGGTAGACCCCGCCGTGAGACAGCTCGGCTCGACGAATCAGGACACCCCGCTCGATCACCACCAGCTGGTCACCAGTTATCACCTGACGAGAGATTTTTGGAGAGGAAATTTATAATCTGGATAATCTCGAACAAAGTGGCTGTAAAAAGGATTTGGAACATAAATGAAAGCACAAGTGTAAAAGGTGTGACTGCACCTGGTTTAGTTCAGCGCTGTTCTCTCCAGCCTGTTTGTACCAGGTCACTGCAGCATGTCTGGATCTAGGCAAACACTCCAGGTAGGTGCTGTTACCCTCTGCCACCATCATCACCCTCTGTTCTGCCTCCACCTGCAGTCCGGCTAAATTAAAGAGAGAAAAGGTGAAACAGGTTAAAGATATGGTGACCTGTCCGAGAAGCCTGCTTCTCGCCAGTCTCAGCTGGAACAGGCTTGAGCCCTCTGAAACCCTACTACACTGGTAGTGCTCCATAATGTGGCCTGAGCATAGTTCAACAGGTAAAGCAAAGACTCTGAATGGAAACAATGGAAGCTGCTCACCCCCCTGTCTGACACACTGAGTCAGTGGATCCTCATCCTCTCCTAAATGACGAGCATTCCTCCTGCAGACAAGCAGAAACCACAAGCTTATGTTAGACAGAACGGACAGCAAAGCGATGATTTTAACAAAGTGAGAGCAGCACTAGGAGAAAGGGCATGCATTTTGGGGTCACACGTATCATGCCTATATGTTGTCAACACAAACAATGCCAGTAAGAAACATAGTTTTAAATAGCTCTATATAGCATTTTTAATTTGACCTTCAGATCAATCTATTGACATGAGTTCACTCTATACTCAGAATTCATTCAAAACTTTTTGAGCTATCGTGTTTAAAGACAGAACGACACACACGCAAAACCATAACTTCCTTGGCAGAATCAATTCGCTCACTGGGGCAAAAGTCAGGATATCATCATAAACAACCTAATCATAGAAATTATGGCCAGTTGTGATACTTAGTAAAGAAACAAAATCTTAATCATGTGGAAAAAATGCCTAAAATCTAATCAGAAAAATCTGAGCTTAGGTGTAACTTGAACCACGTTTCTGACTATCAACAAATGTGGTTTAAATCAAATTTGGGAAGATTGATTCCAGATTGATTCTTTTCATAATAAAATAAGTTCAAGCCGTAAGGGGAAACTCAATCTGCTGTAATGTTATCAGTGCTGTCTGGATCTGCATAGAGCTGGTATGTCCTCCCTACCTGCGCACGGTCGGCATATAGGGGCTGCAAGCATGTCCGTCCCAGGTGCAGTAGGGGTCCCTGGCCAGGCAGCACTCAGCGCAGGCCTGACCGTACAGCTCACACTGGTAAAGGGCCAGCTGAGACACACCCTCCTTGGAGCCCACAAACAACCACTGCTAGAGGAGAGGGGGTGGGTGAAAGATTGAAATAGAGATGGAAGAGAAAACAACGATGGAGGGGGGAAAGCAGAGACAATGTGGGAGAGCCAGAAGAGAAAAACAAAGGGGTATCAAGTTCACTCCCCTGCAACACGGACACTTTGACAGTCACCAGGAAAAAAAAGCAGATTCATCTCCACTCTGTGAGTCACAAATCCAACTCAAGCTGTATCAATGTCAGTGGCCACGGAGAGTGTGTGTTTGCATGCGGGGTGGAAAACAGAGAAATGTGAGGATGCTTGCTTTTTATAATCTTCGTGTGTGTGCGAGCTGCGGTTTCGTTTTCTTTTTTTCCCCTCATGCCAAACTGTTTTAATAATGCAAGGTGCATTTGTGTGTGAGCATCTCTTCATTATTGCTCTGACTGAGGTGAGGTAACCATGGCAACTGGTGATGAAGCCGTCCTTGGAGACGCAAGGTGGAGAGACGAGTGAGAAGTGCGATGTTACCGTGTGTGAGTGCGGCAGTTTGGAACTTTGAAAGCGAGTCTTGTCTGTTACCTTTTTCTTTGAGAGTGCCATGGCTGTCACCGGTGATTTGTGCTGTGAAGGAGACAGGAAAGGGAAACTGAGAAACACACCAGGTTTATACTGAAACAAAGATAACAGATAGATAGATAGGGTTTTACAAAGCATATACTTTAGAATACAGAGCAGGAATAACACAGTCAGGTCTGACCACATATATCTCAGCCACATCATTCAGGTTGAACCCAAAGTTGTTTTCCTTCATTTTGCTGTTTGAACCCAAAGCGGAGTTCATTCTGGACAAAAATGTGGATTTTGTGAACTGTGATCTTCTCTTTTTTGGTAACTATGCCCAGCTGCAGTAACTTGGTCTTGGTGCAGTGACAAGCTTTAACCCTTTAAATCCTGAACCATGAGATAATTGAAAAAAATTGAGCATTTATTGAACCTTCTGATTTAAAAATGTTTTTAATATTAATATACATAAACTAGTTTTAATTTGTATCGTATTTGTTCCATCTGAAAATTTTGTTCAGATCATTGCTTAAAAATCTGTTGTGCAATTTATTTAAGATGTAGAAGTCTAAAAAAACTCATGCATTAAATATGATACACTAGACATTAAGGGGTAAAATAAAGGTATTTACTGCATTTCGTGTAAATATACGCAGTACTTTAGTGGTATAGTATGTGCATAACTATCTTTGCATTAACCAGAGCAGAATGGTGTCTTTGCACACATGCGTTTTCTTACTGTTGAGAGAATGCATGTATTTCCATTCATTTCCATATGGCATGGACAGATATGGAATTAGTCACACTGTGTCTGCATGCATTGTTGTCATGCAGGCTAATTTGAAAAGTCTGTGCTGCATTATGTTGTGACAATAATGTACATTTGGATCTAGTTTTGAGAGGTAATTGAATTTTTTTTAATGGAGGAGGAATGAATGGACGCCGCGAAGAAATCAACTCAATCTGCAAACAATGAGCTTTACTACAAAATAGACCAGCTCTTAACAAATTTAATTTTTTTAAGGTTTCAGCCTGGTTTTCCTCACAGAAAAAGCTTGCAGTACCTGAAACACCTGCATCTGCTCCAGAGTGATCTCCTGACTCTGGCCGTGCTCCCTGTGCAGATGGATTGCTTTCATAACGAGTCCTGAGTCTAAAGACAAAAAAAATAAAAATAAACAAATCATTCACCATATTTCATTTTGAAAAAACACTTTAAAATGCCAGAAACACAACCTTCAATGTCACATGACCTACCTGTACCGATGAACAGGACGTCGTAGGTGCCATCGACAGCCTCCACTCTGTCCACCAGCAGTTTGGTGAACTTGTAATGAACACCCACCCTGACCAGGAGGGGTCGCTCTCCAAGCGGCAGGACATTTTCCTATAAAAAAAATTAAAAAAAAGCAAGAATGCATCACATTAAATGTGAAATCTTTGACTAATAAATTTGTTCAGCCAGTCTTGCTATTCATCATTAATACAGCAAAGGTTTCATATTCCCTGTGATGAAGCAGTGCCCTGTTGGCAAGGACTGCTAATTTAATTTCCTATGTTCACTTCAGAATTTAGACAGAAATAGAGAGAAAAAAAACAGCTTGACCTGCTGTAAAATGCGGCAATCTAATTAAGCTAAACTGGCTCAATTTAATAAAGTGAAATATCAGCCAAACCTGCAGCAGCGGATGAGTTCTGCTGAAGAAAATGACGTCGTCGGGATACTCTCTGGTCGAGCTATAGCTTCCATATGTACTGCTCGGACACTGACAAAGAAAGAGAGAGACAGAGACGAGATCATGTTTCCAGTCTTTTGTTTTGAGCATTCTTATATGGAAATTAAGCACAATTTTGCAGAATTAAATGACCCTCCATCAAAGACAGCATATTATTGCAATGTACTACCTTGGTAAATCACGCATTTGCTTTTAGAGAAATACAAAAAGTCACCTGGAGAGATAGCGGTGGTATCTACCAGTTTTGAGTATGAACTTACTGTTCCTGGCCGTGGATAGGGCACCTTGCCTGTAAATTCTGCCCATTTATACTGAGGCCCTTCCTTATGCAGGAAGTTCCCTTTAAAGGCTCGAACCACATCCTCCATTCGGTAAACACACACCGCTGAACCGTTCAGGATATCACTAAGGAGAAGACAAAAGGAGAGCAGATTCAGACATCAGATATGTCTGAAGCAGAGCATACCTTTGATTACTTTACTTGATATACTGCAAAGGTCTTTAAGCAGTAAATGGAGTACTGTATTAGGAGCTGTGACTCATTGTGGCTTTCCAGCTTGAACGCATCAATTAAATGAATGCGCTCCAACCCAAAATCCAGCCTGGGTGAATATGCTGCTTTCAGCACATCGGTCCCCACTATAACACATCCCATCCACTGCAGTTAAGATCACACATTTCTGGAGGATTTGTGGCAAAGCACGCACGAGCTAGAGATTCCAGCAAAGCAGAAACAGAACAGATAGAAAGGCCATGTTATGATGAATCAGGGGGCTCTTAGAGAGGAAGCTTTTTTCTCTCCTCAGTGGTCAGAGGTCTCAGTCTGGTATTCAGATGCCAAATCATACAGAGTACAAAAGTGAACCGTGACGTTGTAAAAAAGCATTCATGTCAGCCTCTAAATTGTGTTTTTACAAGTTGGGGATGTCACCTTTACACTTGTAAATTCTCCTCTTTCCTATTCTGTTTTGTTTATAAGTGGCCTCCTCTGGAAGCTCACCTGCACAAACATTCCTCCACCTGAGCAGACCTCAGTCCCCTGTTGCTTTTTGCGGTTGTGCTTTAATAATTATTAGTTGTGTTGCAGGTTATTGGCAGTGCTGTTAGTTTCATGGAGTGGTTCAACTTTACCAAAGGTGTGCTACCAGGAGTTGAGCTTAGGGTCTAGTTTTACTTTGGGTCCCGGCCACTTTGCATTGCAAGAATAAATGTGACAACAAGGCTATCGGTGGGCAAAATCAATTAATCAGCTGTCTGATACATTATGTATCACAAACAATTAAAAATAAAAGCAGAGACCAAAATAAAAGCAAAGAACTGTTAACACGCTTGCCTTCATCACAGGCATAAAAACCAGCACGTGTGCAATCGTTACTGTACCAGAGAGACAAGTCTCCTTTCAGAAGGAATGACCTTTTTGCTCTTTTCCAGTTCTGTGGTTGCGACCGCACCCTTGGTGATGCTTTGGATTTCTGTTCCCTGCTAAGATTCCACACACTTTCCAAAACCCCCAAAAACAGACCAACTCCCTGCTCTGCCATGCCAGATGCCGTCATACTTTTGCTGCTACTGTGGAGCTCTGGCGTCCAGCTCAGAAACTGTGTTATTCTCTGGATATGCAACATGGTCAGTGGAGTAGAGAAAATGAGAAAACGCAGCCTTTTTCTTTTACTTTAATTAGGCTGCTCGCTGGATCATTTTTTACTCGTTTTTCAGACAGAACCTGCTTTTTTCATGTCTGTGTTTTTTCAGCAGACATCTGCGTGAGCTTTTATGAAAGCCTGTCTATTAGGACAACTGCCTTTTTTAAACTAACAGCCTTTGATGGTCTGAAAGAATATTTTTGATTCTTCTCTATTATGTCTGACATGTATGCAATTTGTACATTTCCTAGGCTTTAACGTAGACTTCAACAGAAAGCATATCTCCTGTGGGCTGCTTCATAGTAGCCTTTTTATAAAGGGTATTTATTATTCCTTTTTTCAGTCATGTAAGTTAAACATGGTCAAAAGTTTCAAATAATTAAGGCCAGCAATATGTACAAGTGATCATGCGAGCCTTACTTCTGGCTCTTTGTGACCTCATCGGGAACATATAAATTGAGAGCCAATCAGAAGAAAGTTGGTTGAAAGGCCCTAAAGCACTTGTCCTCAAAAGCATTTTTTAAACTGTGAGTTATGCAAAGCTGCTTTACAGTCTTGTTGAAAATCATCAACTCCTTATTAAAGTCACAATTCATTTTTTTGCAATTTTGTCCTCATGCACTTCTTCCAGGATCTCAAAATTGCCTTTTTGTCTATTTGTGTGTGAAAAAATACAGTAGAAGTCAAGTTGTAACCTTTCTGTAACACAAACACACACACACAGTTGGACACAGATGAAGAAACTGTGCACTGATGATGACAACTGTGAAGGCTCATATACGCTCCATGTTGTTCACATGAATGGATGCATTTCATTCATGAGTCACTGTGACATGAGACCCGGCGGGTGGTGTGTATCTCACAGCGTGTGACATCAACATCTGACACGTGGATGTGAAACATCGAGCACTCATATCCTGTCACAGACGCTCTCTTGTCATTGTGTGTCATCACAGTACAGGATGGTGCAGATGATCATTTATTCAGTATTTGAAGAAAAAAAACTTTATACTTTTATTTTCTTCATATTTTAAAACGATTACCACTAAAAAAAAAAGCTTCTTATATCACATGTTTTAACTTGTTAAAAATGACATGTTGAGGAGTTACTGTGTGGGTCAACAGGTATTTATCGTTAAAGATCTGATGCTTCTGTTATCTGTTTTTAATTCAGTGTCTGGTTAGTGGTTTGAAATTCTCACTAAAACCTCATCAGCCTCCACTGTCGTCGGCAGTTCAATTTACAGCTGGCTTTAAACTGCTTTTAAACCTTTTATTTAAACAATTACAGCAATTCCTGCCTCTGGGGCCCCAAGAAACCCAATGCTCCATAATAAAACTGTCACCAAAAAGTATAACTATGCATACCACGGATCCTATTTCAAAATAAACTATTGACAAATCATCTAATCCTTTTCAAGAAATCGTATTTATCCTGTACACGTTGAGTACACAGTTACTCTTCTCCTCTCTTCCACTCTTTTGCACTCCATTTCTATTCTTTTTTTTTTTGCATGGCTTGATCAATACAGAACTAAATGCTAAGGACTAAAGTACTTCTAAAACTAGTCCGCCCAGTGTAAAAGTGAAGGGACTCTCTCCCATCTACCACCATATACTGACATTTTCCACACATAAACAAGGGTATGCAGTTTACACACCACCCATTCAAGTTACTCAATTCCCATGATTTCTGCTTTACAGAGGCACATACCTTGAAGTGGTAAACAGGCCGTAGATGAGAGGATTCTTCTTGTCTTTCCCCTGGAGGATGAAGATGTCCTCTGAATGGAGAACATCCAGACATAATGATGAAAGGAAGGGGGGGATAAGGAGAAAGACGGGGAAGGGAAATGGAAGGAGACAAAGACATAAAAATGTTAGTCAGAAAAGATCAGAATGATGTCTGAATTACGGAGAAGTTTTGGAGAGTTGCACAGGACTGCATAAACTCTACATGTCTGTATTCATGTGAGCAATGCTCATGAGTCTGTGTAACAGTCTATTTTCTTTATTTGTGTGAGTGTGTGTTCAGTTTTAGGTACTTTGTATTCATTATGTGTATGCCCGTGTGCGTATCTGAGTGTGTGCATCTATCAGTCTGACTGTGTGACTAATAGCGTCGGGCATGCTGGCAGCATGGCTGACTGGCTGCTTGTAATGAATCTGTAGCCATTAATAACCAGCCGCAGTGGGAGAGCCGAGCGCTCCGTCCGCCACAGGAACACAGCACCTGCTGTCACACACACTAACACCACACCTCGGTCTCCACTCGTCATTTCAAACACAGCGGATCACACACACACACACACACACACACACACACACACACACACTTGATATGTTTTTCTCACTTTGGCGTCGCTCTGATAGTGATCCGCTCATGCAGCGCAATCAGGTGTAGTGCGGATTTGTTTTTTTAGCTCTTTCCATCTGTCTGCCTTCGACACCTGATAGCTCAGGGGCCATAACACCGCATTTGAATACAGCAGGTAAAACTGTGGGATCTTTTTTTTTTTTAAATGAACTTGTAGATTTAAGTTCAAATGCTAAAAGTATCCTCAGAAGTGTTAAGGAAAAAAGGAAAAGAAAAAGTGGGGCAGCTGTGGCCCCATCTACTAATGGGAAGGTCAGCGGTTTGATCCCTAGGCTCCTCCGGTGTCCTCGTGTCAAAGTGGCCTCGGGCAAGACTGAACTGCAAATTGCCTCTGATGTTTTCATCGGAGTGTGAGTGAGTGTGTGATAGTTAGAAAGTGATTAACTGTTTTGTTTTTATCTTGTGTTCCCATCAGATTCAATGTAAGTCTGTGATAAAGGTTACAAATACTTTGGAGGTCCAAAACGATACTGTGTGTATGATAAAGAAATAAAGCGACTCTGTGACTACAGCTCAGGAGTGTAAGGCTGGCAGATTCCCAGCTCCTCCAGCCTGAGTATGGAAGTTTTCTTTGGAAATATGCTGAACCGTAAAAAACTGCCGTATCATCACTTTGTGTGTGACAGTAAAGGTGCTGAATGTATAGCATAACAAGCAAATGGGTCAATACATCTTGAGTTGTGAAGCACTTTACCACAACGCTCACAACTCTGATTCATGGGGGAGTAAAATAGGAACAAACTGATGTGACATGAACTCACAATCAAATAAAACAGACTGGTATTAAAAGGCCCACAACTGTGAACACATATAGACTGACAATGGAAACATTGTGTCTCGTATGAAGCACCAGTGGTTCAATACTGACAAATTGTGATAAAACATTAAAAAAAACACACATTAAAAAAAATTAATTAATGTTCCTGAAAGTTGTGCACAGTTTGACTTTTTTGCCTCCCATATTTCCACTATTGTTCATCGCTGTGTTATTCAGTTGCCTACACTTGCAGCTCACACTAGACCTTGGCTTTCACAGTTTATTTAAATCAGAATAAATCAAAGGTTTTCTGTTCTGCACTTTTGTCTCAGATAAGAGCAGGGAATGTTTTATCATCCCATCAAAATGGAGGAGAATGGAGCCCTTTGTTTTCCGTGCAACACGCTGTGATAATCTATAAATACATGACTCCTAGGGCTCCTTTCTTTTTGCTTCCTACTTTTGTGGCAAATAGCTTTAAAAGTTCCCGAAACTCTAAAAAACAGGTTCGACCCAAGGAGTACTCAATGAGTGCCCCGTATGTCTCTACTTTTATTCTTCTCCTCTCCCATGCAGAGGCAGATATGTTGTTGTGGTGCTGGAGACGACGAAGCGTATCAATGTTCCCACATTCCTGCCGTTCCTGCTGCTTCAGGTGGCCTCCGTGGAACTACGGCCCTGCAGGAAGGCTAATCTCATCTCGACACAGCTACACACACTTGCAGCTGCCACACACAGTGGCAGATTTGGGAGCACGCAAAGAGAAATAAAGGCATGTATAGCCACATTCATGCACCCACACATACCAAATTGTTAAACTGCAGGGAGCAAGGAACATTGACTCAAACTTGCATGGTACCGATAGACACACAAACACCCACACAGGCCCCTCATGATAGGGAACAGAAGAGCATGGGTAGTCTGCTGCCTCCAGCGTACCAATTGCTCACTCCCTCTTCCCTTTAATATATCACTTCTTTGTTATTGCATTTTATTTACTGCTTCTTTGAGCTCTTCCTGCCTTTAAATCACAATGTAGATGCCCCCATTTGTGTTATCACTCCTTTTACCTCTCTTCCTGTTTCCTATCACTCCCTAATTCTACTCATATCATCCCTCCATCTTTCTTAACAGCCTCTTCTCTACTTTCCCATCATTTGTTCGAGCTTATCTTCTGCTCTCACATCTTCCAAAGAATGCTTTTCATTAATCAAAACCTTTATCATCTGTTGGTTTACTTTGCCTCTCTATGTTTACCTGTGTTTTTTTATGGCCTTCATGCATTATTACTCTGGATGATGTATATCCTGAGTACACTTTCATCTGAAGCTCCTCGAAGTTTTGTTCAAAGAAGAGATGAGTCAGACTAAAAAAGAAGGGCATTGTAAGATGCACATCTACACCCACAGAGCTCAATTTTATAGTCACACAGCCACCCTGGTGGAACCCTTCTGAGTACAGATGAAAGCCCCTTAAAAACCTAGTGGAAAAGTTTACCAGGTGATGGGATTGCAGTCAAACAGAGCAAAGAACAGATGAAACTCATCTGGAAGTGCAGCCAAGCTGGCATTGGACTTGTAGTTAGATACACCACATTTGGACAGAACAATACTTGGCCTTGTTAAAGACTAATGCACTACTGCAGGAAAAATACTTTTAATGTTGTAATCTAATGTAATTACATTAGGCTTCAGTCACACAGGTCTATTGGTCAAAAGAGGTAGACGGTGCTCCACTCAAAACCTCTGTGTGATTGGCCTGGTTGCTAGCAGATTGCCCACAGTTCAGAAAATAAATAATAAACAATCAGTAAATAAGAATTGTTTTCCAAGCCAAGACCAGTAACTGTATAAAAGACTTACTAACACCAGCATGCTAACATGGGGTCAAGTGAGATTAGGAAGATTTGACATGCTAACATCCACTTGTTAGCACAATACCTAAACTAGTTTTGCAGGTATTGAGTGAAAAAGTGCTGGAAAAAGAAACATGACTGATTCCTGTTGATTGCATGACAAGAAGTTAGAGATTCATCTGAGTTGTTCAGAGGGAAGGTACGAATGGCTGCACCAGATTTCAAGGCAATAGACTGATTTCACAGAAGCCATTTTGAAATACAATATGTAAACAAATTCGGTTCACCTAAACAGGCAAGAAACGTTATTAACGTCATTAGTAACACATGTGTATACATGCTGTTTCAGGACAAACTGACTGCCGTGAAATATGCTTATTTAGGATTTGTTACTGCTCTGTATAATTAAAACCTGACATATTTCAGTGTGGATCAAAAATGATCAAAACAGCAGGTCTGGCTAGCATCCACAGAGCTGCATCTCCAAACAATGCACCAACTATTATGAATGTAAGAAAGAACAAAGGTTTCCAATTGAGGAAAAAAAATCCCAATTTACTTTGTGGTATTTTAAGACAGGTAAAAATGAGGCCACACAGCACGTAAAAGTAAATACATGCATTTTTTTGTTCTGAGTAAACTTAATACAAACTCTGGTAAAACCCTGCAGGGGAAAAACTTGCCTTCTGCTCGAAAGTTAGTCTCCCTTTCTTCTTTGCACCTCAGTGTACATGCAGCTCCACATAAAAATGCAGTTCAGATTTAGAAGACGCAGCCAGCGCAACATTTTTCTTTCTTACACACTTTGAACAAGACGTCTTAGTTATTTACGGCTCAGCTTGGCAAAACTTCACTCTTATCGCTCCGTGACGAGTTTAAACCTCGACTGATTCAATGCTGTTCCACCTACATCCCTCGCATGTTTGATTTAGTAAACTGGAGTGGCTTCTAATGTCATTAATCTTTAATAGAGGAGGGATAACGCAACACTCAGACATGCATTAATCACAAATATAGTGCAGAAAATATGAGGTCACTCTGCTTCTATCTGCAAGACGGGCTGACCAGGTGAGAGTGTTTGACCGCTGAAGCAAGAAAGAGTGTTTATTTGGTTTCTTGCTCATGCTACAGTTAAAGACGACAGATTCATGGCTTCTTATCTTTTTTTAAGCACAGCTTCTTTACTCTTTCAGCCTCGACCACTATCTTACACTCCAAGATGTTTTCTTTTTGTCTCCTCCTGAATCATCTTCTCTCCTTTTTCTTTCCATCTCTTTATCTTTTTATTAGTTTTCTCATCCCGTGCTCCTTTCTGCTCAAATCCACCTGGACTTCCCAGAAGCCCTCTGGGTGTATCTCGTTCTCTTTGTTTCTCACTTTCGCTGTCCCTCCCAGTCTCCATCCCTCCCTCCCGCTATCTCTTCTTCCCTCTGTCCCCCCCGTCCATCTGTCTGTCTGGCCTATTTTCTCTGGAGGATTGTTCTTGTGTCTTCTTCTCTAAACAAAACGAGGTTGTTTTCCCCCTGAGGGAAGACAGTCTTGTCTAGCCCGCAGACCTGCAGACCCAGCCCCTGTCTTCTTCCTCCTCCTCCTACCCCTCATCCTAATTGTCTGGCCAGTGCGCCCTCAGGCAAACTCCCATATTCTCCTCATTTCTCCACTGTTTCTTCTTTCCCTCCCTTTTCATCCAGCCACCCCGAATACCAACACCTAGATCGTGCCTCCTTTATGCTCGTCACCTTTCTGCCAACTCCTCTTGTCTCGTCCCTCCATCTTACAGTAATTTGCCAATAAT